TCTCTTTGTGGGAATGTAAAAGGTAGTCTTTGTGGGACTTCCCTGGTGGTCCGGTGGTTAAGACTGTGCAGTCCCAATGCAGGGGGCCTGGTTCAATCCCTGGTCAGGGAACTAGATCCCGCATGCAGGCCACAACTAAAGGAGGCACATGCCACAACTAAGACCCGGCACAGCCAAATAAATAAATAAATATTAAAAAAAAAAAAGGTAGTCTTTGTTCCTAGTACTCAGAGGTCCTTTGCTAATCCTGGCTATTGTTGATTATTCCTAGCAGAGGCGTGGGTCACTGTTCAAGTTGTTGCTCACAGGAGATTAGAAACCAAGACTCCAAGGTGGCTTGAAGGACAGACAGTTGAGCTTCTGTGCACCTCAAGCTGTGAAGAAGAACTGTACAGGACTATGGACAGTGTTATTCGGTACTGAAGGACCCATTCTTTGGAGGTGTTTTGTGGAGTTTGTCGTTGTTGTTGTTGTTCTGATGCGTTGTGCCAAAGGACAGGATCGCGTTCAGGGGCAGGGCTCCCCCCGAATGTAATAAACCTTGCCACCGTAGATCATTCTGGAATATGTGAACACAGAGACAAGGCTAGACTCAAGGGCATCTCCACTGAGGTCAAGTCTGCTGGTCCCTGCAACATGGGGGCAGCCCTAGGGGCAGGCAGAGAAGTGCCAGGACAGGACCCCTCTGTGGACCCCAAGAGCAGCGATACTTCGTTTTTAAGTTCTCTGTTTTGTAATATCCTTTCTTATCAAAGCCGTCAGCAAAATCCTAACAAATCTTATTTCCTGATCTCAGCTATCACCGTCCTGAGTTGGAGACAGGGCCAATGTCCAAATTGGGCAAAATGGCACAGGGGAGACAAACGCATAACTGAGGAAGGAGGAAGTAATAGCTTGGATCCCTACTATGGACTCTGATGACAAGCAACTACCAGAATTGGTTTGTGGAATGTGTAAACACTTCTTAAAGGTTGCCCAGAAATCCCCAGAAAGAGAAGCCTGGTAATAGACAGTACTTCTGCAATTAAAAGAGATGATTTGAGACTACAGTGTTTTGGGCATTAAAGAGATATGTGAAGTTTGGACATTTGGATTACAAATCTATCCTTTCTAGTTTTCGCAAGCACCCTGAAAGTGATTTATTTATTTTAGGAGAGTAAGGTATAGGAAATGCCTAACCCAAGGCTGCTGGGCAAGTAAGCATCATGGGCTAAGTCCATGCACCCAAGGTCATTCTGTTGTGCCACGCTGCCTCCCTGAATAAAACTTACCTGGGGGCTTCCTTTCAAGACCTTCAAGAAAAGAAGGCTGGCTCATTTTCTCCCACTCCACAGGCAGACTCTGGGAGAACAGGCAGAGGGATAGAGAGGGAGGAAGCGCCAAATCTGACTACATGTTGGATCTGTTTCTTTTACTTTAACCTTTGCTTCCCGTTGCTTTTGTTCACTAAAAGGATACTGTCCATACATAATGGCCTGCCTTGGGGCACCCTGCCCCTCTGCCTGAATGTTAAACCAGAGTGCCTTTGTTCAGGGAAACATCCTGACCCTGTCCACCTGTGGATGGCTGCAAGAAAGAAGAAATGAACACATCCCCTTCCCGAGGTTGGCCATTCCAGGGGACATTTGCAAATCTTATGGCCTTTTTACTTACTTCCTTATCTCCTCCCCATCTCTGTGCTATAAAAGAAACTGGGATCCAAAGCCAGATAAGACAGTTACTTTGAGACATTAGTCTGCCACCTTCTTGGTCTGCTGGCTTTCCGAATAAAGTCCTATTCCCTGCCTCAACACTTCGTCTCTGATTTATTGGCCTGTCGTGTGGCGAGCAGAGCGAGCTTGGACTCAGTAACACAGCTACAAGAAGAAAAGGAGGAAAAAACTTTTCTTCTAGTAGAAACTGAGGCCTCTTATTTTATCCTTTTAACTTCCCACTTCTTCATCTACAAATTAATCAACATCTATACCCATTTCCCACAAATAAAGCTCTTTTTCCCATTTAAAGCCAGTCTTCTGCCAAAGCCTCCAACTTCTACCTTCTCCCCCCTCTCAGATCTTGTTCAACCTGCCACTCTCTTGTACTCTTCCTCTCCTCCCCGCTGGTTCCTGCCCCTACGCCCATAAATATGCTCTCATCTTTCCCATCTTAACCCACCACTTTAAACCCAAATCTCCCTCTAACTATGGACCAATTTTTCCTATTGTTATCCACACTTCTCAAAAATGTAGATTTATACTTGCTTACTTACATCCCAATAACTTCTCAATTCATTCTCAACTAGCTTATGCCTCCATTTATGTCATCCTAATGTCCTAATGGATACTTTTTTTTAAAAAAACTATTTAGTTTCACATACATAGAAAGAAGTACATGTAAGCATACAGTGCAAAGAATGACCACACCTATGTATCTGCCACCAGGTTAAGAAATAGGACATTGATGGCCCAATATTGTCCTTATATACAAGGGTCATGGTGAGAGAGGAGAGACAATACTGATTATAAAAGTCCTATGAATTCCTAAGAGTCCTTACTACATCGTGGAGAACTCCTTTTTGATTTCCTCTTCTCTGGGAAATGTCTGTTGGCTACCATTTTGTTCTGAGGGCTCTAGTTACCAAAAAAGACAAACTAGAGAAATCAGTAACTTGACTGAACAGGACTCTACTCCCTGCCCCCAGATTCAGAAGTTAAGCTTTATTCATGAGAGAATTTCTCATAACACTACCTTGGTTGCCACAGACAGAAAAAGTTGGGTGGAGAAAAATTATTAAGCCCTTCGGCAGTGAAACAAATCGTGACGGGAGCAAGGTTTATATTTCCAACTGGCAAATAACTTCTCTATCACAGTATCACCAACTGAAATGGTCGTGGTGAGGCAGAAAACATCAAATAAATGAAGAGAAGACAGGGATAAAAAGAAGCAGTGTAAGGCATGCGAAAGCCACAGCTTGTACCAACGTTGCCCAATTTTTCATTTTCATTGTAATAGTTCATAATCAAAGGTGGACAATAAACCATCTAAAAGATGTATTGTATATATTTTTAAACACAAAGGCTCATTTTGATTCACACCTAAACTTTAGGAAACATACATCATCATGAAATCCTTTTTAAAAAAGTGACAGATAAATGAAAGTAAATGGCTTGATGTTAATTAAAGAAAAAAAAAAAAAAGAAATAGGACACTACTAGCACCCCAGAAGCCCTATGGTGTTTTCCCAATCACTACTTCCTCCCTCCTCCCTAATGTAGCATCATCCTGACTTCTCATTCCATATATTAGTTTTGCTTGTTTTTAACTTTACATAAATGGAAACTTACATTATGTCGTCTTTTGTGTCTGACTGTCTTGCTCAACATTATATTTGTATGGTGTGGCCATGCTATTGCATGCAGTCATGGTGCATTCATTCCTACTGCTGTATAGTACTCCATTGTAAGAATATGCTGCAACTCATCCATGTCATTGTTTATGGACGTTTGAGGTTATTTACAGTTTGAGGCTATTTCAAATAAGATTCAACATGAACAGTCTTGTACGTATCTTTTTGCTGTACCTATACACATATTTCTTCATCTGTTTTTACAGGAAGGAAGTAGTTTGGTTAAGGCCGCCATAAAATAGGTTGGGAAAATTAAGGCACAATTATGTTCAACCAGTGGGACAAGTTTATCATGAACAACTACTATACTTACACGGAGATGCAGAAGACATGAATGCAGAGCCAAGAGAAGGTACTTGAGAAAGAGATGTGTCCTCGTGTGTGGAAATTCACAGAGAATAGGGAACAGAAACAGACTGTGTAATTAAGTACAAAACTGCATAGGCCCAGAGTAGAGGCAACTTTTAGAACCTCTGGGCTAAGACTAGACAGTTTAATACCAGGGCTGGATTCCTCACTGTTGCTCACCCATAGTCTGTGACACAAGAGTCACCTGGAGGCCATGCATGGGAGAGGAAGGGGGTGTAGGTCTGGGGGTCATTTCTATAGATCCTAGACATATTTCTGCCACAGTGTCTTCTTCCCTCTGCCACCCATATCTGAAACAGAGGCTAAAACCTCTGTGAATGGAGAAATTTCAGACGGACTCTGCACTTCCTCTATCCTTTCCACCCTACAGGTCCTGGGAGGCAGAGGAGAGCCAGGGCGGATCCCCCAGGAGCAAGAGGGGCTTATCAAATGCAAATTTTCATTTCTGACAAAGGGAGCTTGAAATGTGGGAGTGTAAGGAAGCCATTGAAGGTGAGAAGGGCAGAAGAAAAGCTGAATGGCTCTATGGGGATTTGGGATTAGAAGAAGGGGAGCGTGGCTAGCAGCAACTGTCATCATCACTATTGTCATCATTATTATCGTCATCCCTTAAATTTGTATCACATAAGAGTTTACAAAGAGCTGTCTAATCCTTGACTTCCACGTCTTTGCAGGGTGGCAGGGCAGGGATTACTCTCATTTTGCTGAACTGCCCAAGAGCTGGCTGGATGGAAGGCAGGGTCAAGGCCCTAAACTGCATCTCCAGTCCCTCCTCAAGAGCTCACAGGGCCAGGTCCTTTCGTCGGGGGAGTGGAACAGGGAAAAGAGCAACGCAGGGACACGGGCCCCACGGAGGAGAAGGACAAATATAGCAAGAGATCTGGAAATGGCCAGAGGCTAACGCAGTTGCAGGGGGCGAAGTGGAGAGGTTGGAAAGCTGTGCCGACTCTGAAAACTTTGTCTCCTTCTGGCATAAGTCCCCGAGCCACCTGGAAGGTGTAGGGATGCCCACCGGGAGGGCACAACCCGCGCTTGCCGCGGAGGCGGAGGGTGACTTCGTGGCGACCCCGAACATTTGCGGACCGCGGGGCTCGGAAAGTCAAGCTTCCCGGGACGCCCCACAGAGGGTGGGAGCCAGGTGGCACCGCCCCTCCCGGACGCGCGTTGAGCGCCCTCTGTCACCCCACGCAGCCCTGCCCGGCGCCCAGGGAAGAGCGGGCCCGCCCAGGTGCGCCGGGGGTTGGGCCGGACTCCGGAAGGTGTGCCGTCGCGTCCCGGCTCGTCCCCCTCTGCCTCTCCCCCGCGGAAAAGTGAAAGTGTCTGCCAGCCGAGGTCGCGCATTGGGGGGGCGGGGCCGGCGCGGACCTGGGAGCGGGCGCCGGGTGTTCCAGGGGCCATGGATGGGCTCGGCCGCCGCCTCCGAGCCAGCCTGAGACTGAAGCGCGGCCGTGGGGGTTAGTGCCGGGCCGGGGCGCGCCGGGACGAGGGCGCGGGCACAGCGGGGGGACCGCGGGCCAGGACAGGAGGTGACGGGGACAAGGGGCCAAGGCAGGGCGGTGCGGAGGGTCGCGATCGATCGAGGAGCAGTCTGAGGGGGCGTTCCGGGGGTGCTGGGCAGGGGTCAGGTGAGCTGGAGAGAAAGGGCGCAGGTAGAGGTGGAAACGGGCTGGTGGGGAAGGGGTCGGAGGTCAGAGGAGAAGCCACGCCAGCAGGGGCAAAGGGGAGGTCGCCAGCCAAAGGAAACCGTTGTGGGGCCCCGGGGCCACGTGTCCTACCAGCCAGGAAGTTTGTGGGGCAACCGCAGGGTGCCTGCAGCTCCCGGGCCCGGCGCCCGCCCGGGAGACACAGCCTCAGCTCCCGGCCGCCCGCCTCCCCGCGCTGCCCCGCCTCCCCGCTCCCCCGCCCCCGGACTCCACTCGTGGGAGCTAGCGACTTTGCCCCGCACACAGCCGCCGGCCACAGCACTGCCCTTCCCCTGCGACGTCACCCCCCTCCCTCCCCCAGGGGCGGCGAGGAGCCCTGGAGAGTGTGGCCTCCAGCAGAGCTGGGATAGAGCCTGCTCAGCTGCTTCCTTAGAGTGTGGGAACCCGGCAAGGCAAGCCTCCCTTATCCCTTGGTCCCCCATTACAGAAGGAAGAATGATTCCTGCCATACAGGGTTGTACGGATTAAATTAGAAGTCAATATTCGCTTCCTTTCTTCTCAGCAGGGGCGCTGGGCTTTGGAAGGAAGGGAATTAGGAATTCATTCATTCTTTTTTTCATTCATTCAACATATATTTATTGCTGCTTACCACTGACCAGCCCGATGGCTAAGCAGCCACAACCCTTAGATACTTTGTCCAGAGGTCCCACCTTCTGAGAAGAAGGGAACCGATTGGAAAGTAAGCAGGGGTCATACCAAGACAGTCCACCCCTTCTAACATTGGTGGTCAAAAGATTGAATGAGACCCCCTCTTACTCCAAGTCCCAGAGCTGGGGAGACCTGGGAGGGGGGAATCAGTGCTCCTTCTGCCATTACCCCTGTCCCCCACCCTTAGCCCTTGCTGTTCTCCCTGAACACAGGTTTCCAGTATCTATCTGGTCATTCCACCTGTACTGAGGTGGAGAGGTCAGAGACCATGGGTTGGGACAGATGCCTGGGAGCGTGCCATGGCAGGAGGAGATGCAGGGTGGGGCTGTGGCCTCTTTTCTCTGGAGAGCACTGGCTTGGTCTTTCCTGGTCTCCCTCGACCCTCAGAAGCCTGTGTGAATGGAAAGGATCTGCTCCCTGCAGCCCAGAGGAAACATTCCAGTTGTTCCCAAAACAGGGCTGATGACTGTGCCTGATGACAATGAGGGACTGTAAGATGTGCAGCCAGTATTACCTGTCCTGAGGTCTGGCACCTACCGGGCAGGAGAGTGTGCCTTCTTCATCTTCCATACTATCCTCCACTTTTCCCAGAATTTCCCCCTCCCTCTTTTGTCCTTTTGGTCCCAAGGCAACTGTGTGGTAGGAGGATGTGTGTGTGTGTGTGTGTGTGTGTGTGTGTGTGTGTGTGTGTATACACACACGCATGGGTATAAATCATCCTGATGGGAGGGTTGGCAGTGGTGGTGGTCCTGGGTCAAGAGCAGCTGAGCTAGAAGAGGAAGGGCCAGCTTTCCAGATCAAGGTTCCAGAAAGTCCCTTCACCTATATTCCAGCTAGTTCTGGGACTTTTGTCAGAGGGCTGTGGGAGGCACTTCCTGGTGGAGGAACACGTGTAACCAGACTCCTGACTTCCCTAGAAAGGGCGTCTCCCTCCTAAACTGAAAATTCAGGATAATAATTCCTTTCTAGGGCACTGGGGATTAAATGAGAAGACCCATATTAAACGTGTGTTTGATGGAGGTTTTCTCTTCTGTTGATAACCTCCTTTGAAAGGGGGAAGACTTTTTTCTGGATTTCTTGGCCCTCAGTCCCAAAGTCCAGTAACTCCTTTTGTTTGCGATTGTAAGTTTTGCTGTTCTCTTGGCTCTTCTGATAAAGCAGGAAGAAATGGGCTGTTCTCTTGGCTCTTCTGATAAAGCAGGAAGAAAATGCAACCCAAAGGATTTAGGGAAAGAAATCATTTCCTGAGGTTCTGGAATGCCCAGGGAAAAGATTTTGCTTCTCAAGGTCTTTTGCAAACAGGAGGCATCCACATTTGTGGGATGTTTGGTGTGTACTGCACCCAGAAGGCAGGAGCATGAGCATGAAACGCTCATCATTCCCACCCCCGACAGATTCTGTTGTATTCCCCAAATAGTCCCTGAATTGCTCTGTGCCTCGGTTTCCCCATCTGTATCCGGAGATGGTGCTTGTTTCTCAGATTGGTGGCGAGGATTGTGCAGCCAGTCTGTGCAGGCTGCAGATAAGGTGTGATGACAGATCCGAGTGTTCCAGGTCGCTGTTCTCACCATTGCAGTGAATGTAACATTCCCTTTTTTTTTTTTTTTGGCTGCACTGGGTCTTTGTTGCTGCATGCAGGCTTTCTCTAGTTGCAGGCAAGCGAGCGGGGGCTACTCTTCATTGCGGAGCACAGGCTTCTCATTGTGGTGGCTTCTCTTGTTGCGGAGCGTGGGCTGTAGGCACACGGGCTTCAGTAGTTGTGGTGCACGGGCTTAGTTGCTCCGTGGCATGTGGGATCTTCCCAGACCAGGGCTCGAACCCATGTCCTCTGCATTGGCAAACGGATTCTTAACAACTGCACCACCAGGGAAGTCCCTACAGTGATTGAAACATTCTTATTTACTGTGATCCTTGATCTCCCCAGGAGTCATGGCTGGGCCACTGAGTACTGGCTTTTACTAGTCCACAGAAGCCAGGTCTGGAACTATTAAGAGCAAGCAGCTGTGTCCCCTATTTCAGCACCACACATTCTTCCAGAGGTCTATTAATTCTTTGCAGGAGTGGCAGACACTGGCACCAAACCCTTTTGCGGAGAGGATTAGGTTCATTTTGATATCCAGGAATTCCTCTTGCTAGAACAATTTCTCCACTTAAATAATGAATGAGGTCAAGTCTATTGATTTTAATCAGGGGAGGCAGGGGCAACCTTGCTGTGAGGAGTTTTTGGTCCTGTGCTCTTGCTTGCAGCCTTGAAGTCCTGGAAGTCCCAGAGTGCAGCAGGGGGCCATGCAGAGGTTATCTGCTGCCATTGACTGAGTTAGGAAGTGAAAGGTTGGGAATCAGTTATGGAGATATAAGATCCCTGTCCTGGGACTGACAAGTCATTCTCCACTATCAAGGGGTTGTAAATAAACCCATTGCACAACCTTCAGCCCAGAATTAAAAGCCCTTAGCCCAGAAGCAGCTGGGCTCTGGAGGTGTTTGCCTATGACCTTTTCTCTCACCACACCCTGGGGCTCTTGGGAGGAGCTGAGGTCTGAGCTGCAGTGCCAGGATGCTGCCTCTGTCAGTGCAGGCGTTCTGCTGCCTTTCTGGGTCCTGTCACACAGGCTCCTTGCTCAACTATTGGGTGCATAGGATGGAAACTGCTCTCCCCTGTTTGGAAGACAGCACGTGGCTTGGCTTCATAGAGTTGTAGCTGGAGACTGAAACGGCAGCTGCTTTCTCAGGCTTTCTGTAGCCAGTCTGTTAGAGGAAAGGCAAGCACTCCATGCCTTACAGGCCCAAGAAGATGGAAAGACAAGTGGTAGGCGGGATACTCAGGCGCTTCTGCAACTGGCTGCCTCGACACGGAGCAGGTCTGGACTGGATTAGCTACTTCTTTTTTCCAGGGTGACCCTCTTCGATGGGGCTGTTTCTTCCTTGAAATACTTCTTTTTCTTCTTCTTTTATATCTCATCCTCCCCCTGGTTCCCCATGTGACCGGGCCAGGAGGTTTCCCCTGTTGGTTTTTAGAGCCGGTCATGCCCTGTGGTCACAGTCACGTGGCCCTTGGCCTGTTCCGATTTCTTGAGTCCAAGTCAACTCGGGGTGTACTGTTTCACTTAGGCAGAGTTTCTGCTACCCTGGGGCCTCGGGCCTCCCAGGTGACCTCCGCAGTATATTTCCTTGGCTTCCGAATCAGTGACTTCTTTCCTCCTCTTGCCCCCCCACCCCCGGTGGTTCCAAATCTCCCAGGCAGGCACGGAAACTGCCCAGTTGGCTCTGATCCCGTGCCTGGACCTGAGGTGCTGGGCAGGCTCCAGGGACCTCGGTGTCGGTATGACGGCCTAAAAGTGCCAAAGATACTGGAGCCTCACATCCTCCACTCGGGGCCTGGATCAATGAGATACCAGTGGGCCCTGGTGTCTTGGTTTCAGGACCTCCCCAGGATAATCTGGGGGAAGTTGTAAAGGAACCAGAAAGGGCCCAGGAGCACTGTCTACCCAACTTTGCTGGAGGGCAGCACTTCTTTGAATACCTCCTCGTGGTTTCTCTCAAAAAAAAGCCTTCGGGGGATGATTATGAGCCCACAATCACCTACCAGTTCCCCAAGGTAAGGACTGAAGGAAGGGGCAATGGGGGGCAGAGGGTTTGGGTGTTTGAGAGGCGATGGGCGGGGGTGGGGTGCCGTCTCCCCACCCCCAGCCCCCCACCCTGCGGGGGCTCGTCTAGAGCTGCCCTGAGCTCACTGCTCCTGTTTCCTTCAGGTCCAGCCCTGTTTTCTCTTATCACCCGCAGAATCTAGGTCTGTAATGAACTGACCTAGGCTCCCTAGCTGGGAAACTAGGCTAGTTCTTCTGCTGTTGGGGACCTCCTAATTCTTCCAAATTCTATGCTCAGCCACCCTTCTCTGTAGAGAAGCTTACCTTCTGCCAGAGGTCCTTGCAGGAATCCCCTCCCTGGGGTGGGTGGGAGGGAAAGGGTGGAGCAGGCGCGTAGCTGGTGACCACAGCCCAAGCATCAGACTCCTTCTTGTCTGGTCCCGCAGCGGGTGAAGGGGTGGGGTTAGGGCATCTTTCTCATTAACCCTGACAGTGAGGCTACTGAGCTGGCCGCTTCTCTTCTCAGATGCGGTATCTCTCTGATGTGGTCCTCCCAGGAAGCCAGGAGGTCTCTGGGCCTTTCTGCACTCAGCATGGTCCTGGCCCCCTTCCTGACTATGTAGATCCTTAGGATACTGAAGTCCAACTCAGGTTCATGTAGACTTGGCCCGGGAGGGACTGTTTCAGCGTTGGGGTTCTTCCAGCCAGACCCAGAACGCAGTCTCTATGCAGTGATGGGCACAGAGTAGCCTGCCAGCCCCCAAGCCCTCTCCACCTGCTCCT